TGTCCAAAAACCCCAAAACCCCAAAACCCCAAAACCCCAAATATAAATGGTTAAATTGAAAATATTCTGAAATATCAGGTATATAAGCTTTAGAAATTACAAAAGGAGTTGTTCTCTATGCTTTCATAGAGAACATCATCTGCTCATCACTGTTGTTACGCTCCATTTCCTCTTGTCGAGCCATGAAATTGACCTCATCTAAACACTTTAGAGGAGATATTTACCGATTATTTTCTCAAGTTCTTCATTCTCTTCTACTCCAATGTATTGATTGTTTACTAAACAGTTATCATAATTGATACCACTTTCAAGTTCTTTGTGCCTTTGCTTTAGCTCTATTTTAGTTCTATCTTCAAAATCATCTTTCAAGATATCTGCCCACCTCTGGCTCTCTGATTTTACTTTCTGCATCAGTAAGGCATCTTGGTGATTTGTGAATGGCGGTTTTTGGACATCTAATTTGGTAATATTTATTACATACTTTGGCTTACTGCCTTCTTCATTGAAACTTTGCTCAGATAGTTTAAGTACCTATGAAAAGCTTGAAATAGAAGGATAATACCTCTCTCGCACTTGCTTTCCGTTCCGCCCAGGCAAGTACCTCTTGGCAATCAAGCTCCATTTGTTATGAAATGTTTGGTAACCCACTGTCATTTGATGGTAAACAACTTACAAAGAATTTTGTCATCTTCTTCTTTTGTGAACTGACCAATTTTTCTAGTTTTCTGAAATTTCAACACTATTCTTACTTTTAGTAGATCTGCTCTTCGCCTGCAGTCTTCAGAGGATTTTGCTCCAAGTGGGCCGGTGTCCTTAAGGCTGGTTACTAAACAAGATTTCTCAGAATAGCTTACATTTACTAGTATCGATCTTATTATATTCATTAATCTTGAAAGCAATAGCTGTGTAGTTTGATTTATCAAGATTCTCTAACAAAATTTGATCTTCATTAGGACTCCAGATCTTGGTTCCTTTCTCTATAGGTATCAAGAGCGCTGGGATTACTTTGGGCCATTTTGTAGACGCCAGCCTTTGCAGAGATGCAATCCTCATCAAATTTTATATTACTAACTGCATTCTTTTTAACCCGATGTTGTTTACTCAGTCCGATGTAGAGTCTCACTTTTTTGAAGTTAAATCTAGGCTTTGCTTTAAACCTCTTATCCTCATACAATATTTCACATTGATTTTCAGCAATGATAGGGATGTGGTTAGTCATCAGGACCCCTGTTGTAACTGTCCTACCAATGATATCTCTGAAAGATTGACTGAAAAGTTGCCTGTATATTATATCAAATGCGTTACAGTGGCTCATCAGGAGAGAGTTGTCTCCAGAATAAACTTTTGATACCAACTCCGATGGTTGAATCTCTCGAGTCTGGAATTTTCGGTACTTCTGTGAACTCTTCCCCTTCTTCCATTGATGACCATTCATCTGTACTTTTGTGATCAAATTGTTTGGAATGACCTCCTTTCGCTATCTTTGTATCGTCACTTTCGAAAAATGAAGCTGCAGGGAGATTGGAGGGACCATTCGTAATTTCATTCCTGAGTTTTTCAAAGTCACTCATTGGATCATTAACTTTCGGAACTGAGGGATTATTTTTAATTAATTACCTGAACTTTTACTTTTATTTACGTTGAATATTTCCTATCTTCACTTGAGTGGGGGAGTTTTTCTATATTGTTTTTAGTATATTTAAATTCAGATCCACAAAATTAGGAAGAACTTACATTTAAATCACTTTTGAGCTTGAGATGCAATGATAAATTATCTTTATCCATGGTTTTCCCTTGCGCCCCTTGGATTTCAGGGAGTTCAAACATCCCATTTTCATTTTTCTCAAGGTCATCTAGATATTCAGACTTGAGCATTACCGTAGTGACTTCTTTCAATTAGAGCAAGGGAGGATTGGTTAACTATAGTTTTCAGGAATAATCATACTATGTGTTTTATCATCTCCATTTTGTGGATTGACTTCAGCAGATCCATCTAATTGATTAATTCCTTCTAAATATCTCAGTGTACCATACTAAACATAATGAAGAATATCATACCCATTATTGAGATTTCTGGGCTCATATTTCCGGACACGAACCTTCTGACTAGAGCCAGTCCATCTACATGTGAGCCATCTTCCTAAGAGTTGGGAGAGAGCGTTGCACTATATTATAACCATGAAATCCTACTCTTCTGCTACATTTTCCTTTTCTTTTGGTCTTTTTGAAATCTGATAGAAATCTTAGATGCTTTGGTTGAAGTTTAACCAAATTCTAAAGGCTTACGGGCACAATTCTGTTCTTGGTCATTTCTAGATGATTATTAAAAATGTTCACCAAATTTTACCCATTGTAGGGTATTTTAGCCAGTGAGAAAAATGCAAGGACTGGATGGGAAGAAATTTTGAAGAATCTTCAGTAGCTTTATGAAATTGAAGAAATTTTGAAGAATACATACTCTAGACTCTCGTCCTCTTCAGGGATGCCTTCAAAGCTCTGTCTGAGAGTCATTGTTTTTGCCTTCTTTCTTTTAGACCTTCATGCTCTATATGCACTTATGGAAATTTGTCATAAAATATGGGTTATAATAGCTCAAAAAGTGTAAAAATTCCGAACTTGGTGAGTCTAATCCTGCTTTGCATGAAAACTCATTTTCTGAACCAGTCCAATGCAAATCTGCAATATAATAATATTTTTGTAAAGAAAGAATTTCTGATAAATTATCTAAATTTTCAGAAAAGGTGGAAAATCTGAAACATCTGGCCACTTTAATTGAACTTTATATTCCAAATGACAATCAACAGAGGCCTTACTTCTTTTTATGAACAGTAGTAGTTTTCCCATTCATTTGTCTAGCAGCAAAATGCCTATCACTCCGAATATTTTGGTGACTGTTTCTAAGTAGATCAGTCCTTCCTTTATTCGTAAAGGATTGAACTTTGATTTCTTCCATTATATTTATTATACCTCCTCAAATAGTTTAAACCTTATTGGGGTTTTGGGGTTTTGGGGTTTTGGGGTTTTGGGG